TGTGTCCTTCCTTATTAAAAGTTTTCCAACCTATGTTTAAAGCCAACGGTGTGAACTTATATTTTCCTTTCAGAAATAACATTACCTACGAGCAATGTCTTAACATACCAATTTGAAAGAAAAATCGTTTCTTTTGTCGTTAATTATTGTATAAAGTTTTCCGTGTGAAACAAATTTAGAAAAGGACAACTATTGCTGTCTGAATTTGTTTTAATTGAAGTAAGTTCCCTTGTGAAATCTGCCGCAGTATGAATATAAAATTCTTGATTAAGTAAATCTGAAATTCAAGTGAGCGTTAAGTAGTGTTTTTTTATTTCATCTATCAATTTAATGCAATTTAGACGGGGTTTTACTAAGTTTGGCAATTAACTGTTATTCATAACAATAAAGGAACAATAACCTAAGAATGGAAATAGGGAATATATCAAAAAGACAACAACCCAACTAAAGAACATAAACAGCCAAGGCCACCAATGGGTCTTCAACACAGCGGGGAAATCCCGAATCCGGAGTCGGGCTTCAGCTGGCCCCTTAACAAAAGTGTTGTCTAGTTAAGATCGAGAGGAGAGACTGTCCGTAATGTTTTTATCCAATTTCATTCAATTATTTTTCGTGATCCTTCAAACTTTGACCGTATGTTCGTGTACTATTATTGTCTTTTTCCTTTTTAGCCATGGCATTATAAGTTTATTTTCGATCTGTCCCTCTGGTATCTTTAGCCCCTCTTTTGAATGATATTCACCAGGTTGCTTATTTACTACTTCCAAAGGTTTAATTGTGTTTTATTTAATAGGATGGTTGTGCTTCTCAAAGTGTAATAACTGATACTTTTAAATCTATGAGGTTTTCTTAAAGGATAAAGGCATGCGTTTAGATAAAGAACGTCCTGTTTCACCTACGTACTGAATATCTCATCCCGGTTTGTTACATTTGAGTAAATAGATAACACTGTCGTTTTTTTTTCATTTTATATCAATTTCAAAATTTAGGGAAAATGTGCGACCATAAACCGTAGACCTTAACGTTTTGTTGATCCGAGTTTTCTAAAACGGATGCAATCCCTTGTTTGGGACATTAAAACCAAAAAGACGTCACCAGATCAGAGTGAACACATTGGGAAAATGTTAACCTTAGTTTAAATTTAGTTATTTTAGTGCTAATAAACTGAGTCTAAGAAGAATGGCGTCTTTGTCAGATTTGTAACATTCGTTTGTTTGATTATTTTTGTCAGTTCTGCAGTTTGTTTGTGATGTATATGTAAAAAGACTTGTCTGCTGGATCAAAAGTATTGTCCCATTAACCCACGACGATGGAAGTTTTTAACGACCTTGACTGGCTGTACAGCCCTTGCACGGTCGAAATCAAATTTTTTAAACATAACTAAAACAAACATCATAGACACCAGAATAAAAATGTTGTACAACTGCCATACAAGTATGATTTTTAGCTAGATAAACAACTAGTATATACATAAAACAACAACAAAAAACAAGTACAAAGGCTAGATACATGTAGATGAATTGATAAAAATACACACCTTTGTTTTATTTTGTTATTTATATATTACATTGAATTTGGATAAACAAAACTTAAAGTGCTTGACAATATATGCGTATTGCATGAACACTTATAGATTGTTACGATTGTATCATGATTATACTATAAGTTTCAATGCAATTAACCGCAGGTATGTGCTCATTTGCAATTACTTCTTTATATTCTCCTCTCTTGTATTTTACTTGATTTTGAATGTCATTTACTCTGTGTTTAAGTTTTAGGGATAAATGCAAATATTTACTTTTCTTATTTTGTAGCATAAGTTAAAATAAAATACATTACTTATATTTCACATCATTATTAAGATTTATGTCTGCTTCACATGATATGTTAAGGGTACAATATTTCTATTACAATTATTATCATTAGGTTTTTCCACTTTTCTTTGAAAATGGGGTAAAGGTCATATTCTAAATTAGGACTTTGTCTTGTTGTATGATCTTTTCTGTTACTTTTTAAGATAAATACAAATGAACTAGTGCGAGATGTTAGCCGCATTGTGATGAAGATATGATACATTTGGTCTGAAACAATCCAATAACATCTTATAGGAGTTATTGTCCCTGAAATGAATAAATTTAAGGTTATTTGATTATTACTTTAACTTGATACATGATAAAGCCATAGGGTCTTTTGCAAACTATTGGTTGAAATATGACCTTGAACAATATCAACCGGAAGTGACCTTGAGTACACCGAGAGTTTTTATTTTTGCACTTATTTCATGAAACAGTACCTTGAAACTATATATGTTTTAAGTACGCGAACATAAACCTATCATTTGAGACTAAAAGTGACCTTCAAAAAACCGGAAGTACCTAATATCTCCCCCATTACAGGCAAAAGAAAATAGAAACTGTACTTTTGGAATCAGAGTGAATAAAGCTACTTGTATCATGTGAGACCGAAAGTGACATTTTTAAATCGGAAGTTGACAAATATTTCCCATATTTCAGGCAAAAATATATAGCAAAATTTATCTATTGATTAGGTATAGAGAAACCTTTCTTAGACTCAACAGTAACTTTGAGTAAACTGGAAGTAGTTTTTCATCAATAATTGAGAAAGTTAATGAGAAAAGACCTACAATTGTTCTCTGAACTGTTGGTTTTTAAATTATTTTTTTTTCTTCTTCTGCCCCTTTTATTTTTGCGTGTAAATTTAATTTTGACAGATGTCGCTTTGATCTTTGATATATAACATCGCACAGTTTATGCGCCTTTTGAATTGACCCCGATTAAACAGATACTTTTCTCTATATGAGTTATCTCCTCGAACACTGTTCCTTGTTATTGCATCTCCTCCGTAACCGTAAAGGAAAGCAACAAATGTATTTTACAAAATTGCTCGTAATAACCTCTGAACAATTCGTTTTTAATTGTTTATTGATTTCGATTTGAAATTGCCACAAAGGTCAAAGTTCTACGATTCTTAAGGTGATAATGTTGATTGAGAATATATTTAAACAATTTTCAAGAACTTTTGAGGAACATAGCATAAAAGTTAAAGAAATCTGAAATATACCAGGTTTATAATTTTGTAAACACACGTTTCTTTAACAAAATATTCATTCGTGACGATCAAATAAAGTTAGTTTTTTAGCAAAATGAGTAGGACGTTGAAGTGCATTGAGGATCGAAAGTTTTTGACTATAACAAGATTGATTTTGAGGTTGACAATCCTCAGATTTTCGAATTATTTAAAGTTTTGTAATCTGTTAATTTGTTGATATGACAATATAAATGATAATTGAAGTCTACATATAAAGATGTAAATAGAAAGGGATACATAATTCTTAAAGAGGGGCGAAAGATACCAGAGGGACAATCAAACTCATAGATCGAAAATAAACTGACAACACCATGGCTAAAAATGAAAAAGACAAATAATGAAAGTACACAAGACACCACAAAGAAAACTAAAGACTAAGCAACACAAACCCAACCAAAAACTTCGGATGATCTCAGGTGCTCCGGCAGGGTGAGCAGATCCTGCTCCAAATGAGGCACTCGTCGTGTTGCTCATGTTATTTCAAACCCGGTGAATAGTTTAATCCAATAGGTCACATTCGTGCAAAGGGAATGTGATTGTTATTACGACATAAGGAACATATCCGATATCATCTGCGAAACGGATATTCCATAATGTTCCTCAAATTGATTGCATTGATACCGCTTTACAGTTTTAATACAAGATACAGTTTATGGACAATATATGGGTAAATGTGATTTTTTAGACCATCTGGTCGTATCTCATTAGCTTTATTACCATCACTTCGTGATTGTCGACTGTCTTTATAAAAAAAGAAGATGTGGTATGATTGCCAATGAGACAATTCTCCACAAGAGACCAAAATGACACAGAAATTAACAACTATAGGTCACCGTACGGCCTTCAACAATGACCAAAGCCCATACCGCATAGTCGGCTAAAAAAGGCCCCAAAATGACAATGTAAAACAATTCAAACGAGAAAACTAACGGCCTAATTCATGCACATAAAATGATTTGTCTGTCGTAAAATTTTCACAGTAGGGAATTGGTTAATGTGTGCGATGTGTCGACTCTCCACCGACATGATTTCGCGGCTTGATATATTAAGATACTAGATTTTGACTCAAGTAGACTCTTTTTCTGTTTTTACCTTGATTTGTATCTTCATAATTGATGATTGAAATATGAACTTTGGTAATACTACTGTTTCCACTAATACATCACTGAAACTTTGCACACTGATCGAAAATAGACTGAAGCTGTGCACTGCTTACTTGGTAGAGAACTGACTTGTGGTTTTCTGTACGTTTATAAAATGTGAAAATCATATATTTCATATACCTTCAGTATCATTTACTTTGTTGGGTTACTGAAGTCAAAATAAGAAAACACTATAATTTGTTTTGTTTAGTTTTTACTTGGTTACTTTTAAAAACATCCGCTTATATAACTAATTTTATAAATAGCTTTTAAATAAGTAATTTAATGGTCAGGATTTCATTTCGTTGTTCATGAGATGTCCTTTATGTGCAGGTAAAGTGCACGCTTATATTTATTTGTCAAATAACCCATATTGCAAAACAAAGCCAGTGCATCATAAGTATATAATTTCAGTACAACATATTGCCTTAACAATTACAGTCGATAGGTTGTCGTTTATTGTATTAATCTTAATGTGCGTGCAAGAATAAGTGAAGTATCAAGCAAAATGGAACAGTAACATCAAAATAACACCATTTTAAGATGCAAAATGTCGGGTAGAACGAACCTTAAAATTGAACATATAACATCCTTTTACGAGCTGATAATTGCCAAAGTATGGAAGTCAAATTACGGAGTATAGAAACAAGTGTATCTGTCAAAAAATATTATACGGGAAATTATCCCTTTGGAATGCAAATAGATATTCTAATATGGTTATACTAATTACAGAGTTTATGTTAATTTCAGTTTTCAAGAATGCCCTCTCTGCATAACATCAGCTGTATTTTATTTTTAATTGAAATCAATGCCCTAGGTGAGTAAAATTAATATACAACTGTACAGTTGTTCCTATATTTTTTCATTAAGAGCTTCAATGTGAAGGACTACACATGCTTGATCAAGATATAAAAAAAGCATGTGATATTTTTTTGTTAAATAGATGACTTCATATCACATATATTCTAAAATATTTTTACTTGACACAATTTCTATCGGCTGATTGATATATAAAGCGTATAATTATTTGATAATATAAAGTATATAAACAACCGGAATAGGATTGTGAATATGTGCATTGATGTGGTTAACCTATAAACAAATACCTATAGTTACTATGATTTAGATAAAAGATGGAATAATGGATATTGTATCCTTGTGTGGTGAAAAATACATTTTATCGTGATCAAAATAATGGAAAAACAACAATTTCTGATTGTAGTGAAATATTTGATGTTTCCTTTTAAAATAAATGTGTCATCCGGAAGGTAATATATAAAATTAAATAATACAAACACGATTTTATTTTCTAAATCATGATTCTTTGTGGAAAATAAAGAATAATTTTGTTAAAGTTTCTATTTTTATGTTAAGTCACAAAGAGTAATGATTAAGGTAAAAAGATTTAAAATACTATATTCAGAGTATACGTCAATTATACAGGAATGTAACAGCATGGTAGTTTAAAGGCAACGATTGTTTAGCGATGTTTGAATCTTAGTAATAAAAAGGAAATGTATGTTTACTATTTTCTTAAATAAACCACGCTTCCCGATTGTTTCTACCTCCGCTCGATTGATCACGGATGCCGGATATATAATTTGCACTTGTATGTATCCTTATAAGCTCTTTTATAAACTGATTAAATTTTTTTTTTTAAATAATTTTAAAGAAAACATGTAGATAGCACAGCAATAAAATACTTGTTATTGTTATATTATAAGAAAGGAGCCGAAATTTCTTCTATTGAAGTTTGTCATCTCGCAAGTGATAGTAAAGTAATTTCAATAACTTCTTTCCTCTTTTACACTAAACATATTTTAAACTGATTAACATTCATCTTCGGGTTTGATGAATTAATGTCATCTGATAAAAGAGGGTTATCATTTACTTATAATATGGCAAATTACTTTATCTTTATAAAGTCAGTACACTGAAACAACAGTACGATATAATGTTTTATGTAGACATGATGATGTTATGAATTATAACACATACTATATGTTCCATGACCAAATTAAAACCCTTAAATCGTTTGATTTTTCAAATGTGATGTTTTACTTGAATAATTTCTTTACAATAAATAAATATTCAGAAAAAATGTTTGACGACAAAGACCGATAAAATAATTTAAATTTAATGACGCAATGTGTTAACGGCAATGTGATAAGGACATTAGTTTTGGACATAAACCATTAGAACGTTTAATTCATCAAAACTAGAATAAACCGTTAAGTTATATTTTAGAATCATACACACATTCATTTGCTTTAACATATATCTATAGTTTTTCTTTAAGCATAAATTAGAGACAAATTAATTTTCTTTTTACTCAAGTATGTTTTCCCATAAACTGTAATAAAATTCAATTAAAAAGAGGCAATATATCACAAGTATTTGAAAGCCAGTATAGACTGATTCATATGCTAAAATATCTGCATTCTAAACATTAATGTTTATTTCCTATTCGATTTCACTGATGTCTACATTTATAACACTGTGAAAATTAACTTGGTTTGACATTAAACGAACATACATCAAAAGCCAGTATATCAATTCAATTTATTCAATTTATTTATAATCAAATTTTATAGGTATATGTTCCTATCATGAAATGTTCAACTCACTATCATCATTAATATTTAGATTGGTCCTTTTCAGTTTCATTAAAAATGGATATAGATACAATTTCGTTTGGTAATTATATCGTTTTGACCTGCAGAGTCCATGGAATACAAATAATCGACATCACAACAACAAGACAGTGGTCCATGGGGGATGATGACAAGCTGTTATGTTACAATGGTCGAATAAATGATCTCAGGAAGTATAAAGAAAAAGTACTTCCAGGAAATGAGTTTAGTCTTACAATACTCAATGTAACAGAATCAGATCTCAACGCAGTTTATCAATGTCGTTATGGATTTAATGCAGCGAGTAAATTCGTTGAGGCAGACGAGCCAAATACGTTTTGTAAGTATGATGTCTTATATAATAGAAATAACGAAAATGGTTAACCTTAATTATATGTTTCGTGAATAATGATGTGGGAAAAATATAGTTTACTGAGGGATATAATCTAACAGAAGTCAAAGTGCAAAACAAATAAGAATGGAAGAAGAATTCACGAAATTTTAAAATTTGTTGAACGTTACGATGTTTCTGAATTAGATGTTAAACTAAAAGTCTGATTAAACAGATTGTTACATGCAACAGAAAGATACCGATGTTTAAAGGTCATAAATCAATTGAGAGAAAACATATCTGGATTACAAACAAAAACATAGAGAAACGCATCATCTATAAGAGGAAAAACGAAAAACAAGAACACTGAAGTGAGAACAAAAACACAAACAAACTGCTAACATACATAGAAGCGAACTAGATAAACATGGTCTGCGTACGAAACGCTTAAAATGTCGCTACACCCAACCTTGCTTCTTTTACAGTTCGTACGAACTTGTATTTGTTAACCTGATATGTTCTTGTAAACCGATAGATGAAATTTGAACATTGGTAAATTACAGTTGAGTACATCTTTTTCTGCAATGTCAGATCGAGCATCTGCAGGCATATATTATAAGTTTACTTTCTTTAAAACAAAACTAACAATACACATTGAAGTGTGGGCTATTGGTTAAAATAATCACGTGTATTTAATGAGCACAACTGAAATGTGTATGCGTAATTACTATATAAATATTTATGTATCAAGTGTATGACAGCTTTTTCTATATGTTCATTTTCAAAAGTAAAACTATCAGCTATTGTTCTGCTTTTTCAGTGTCATTAAGATTGGTGAAAGATTCCATTATATTAGGAGGAGATATCGTATTGACATGCGCAGTAAATGGATTTAGCACAGTAGATAGAGACGTTACAAGACAATGGTCAATGGGAAATCATGACGAACTATTAAGCTACAATGGCCGAATAAACAATCACAAAAAGTATGAAGAAACGGTTCTTCCCGGGAATGAGTTCAGTCTTAAAGTATTCAATGTAACAGAGAAAGATGTCAATGTAACTTACCGATGTCGATATGGTTTTGATACAGCCACATACTTCATTGAGATAAAAGAGAGTTTAAGTCTACAGAAAAGAGTCCACAGTTCTCATTCATTCAATATATCATCTCATAGTGCAGCAGGTCAAAAAGACGAAAGGAATTTTAAAGTTAATCATGTCAATGACACAATCTCCTCTGAACATAATAAAGGTAAGCTAACGATCATAATGAATACATTTCCAACTATATCATGGATGTATATATAAAACTATCTTTTGACAGATACTGTGAAGATATTGTGAAGATATTGATTCATTTGTATGGTCGTGAGTTTTTGTTTGTGTGTATCTCAAAAGGTAATGAGACAGAGACCAAACAGAATTGTCTTGTCAAATTAAAAACAGTCATTTTCTGGTTAAAGACAATAATTATACTTTTAAGGCAATAGTTGAAGTAGGGAATGATAAGGACTATGTCATTTAATAGGAGCTCCAATTGGCCGTATTTAATATTATAGTTCTTGACAACTCTATCTATTTGTCTTGTCTTTTATTTAATTGATGTATCGAATTTTTCTAAACTTATCTAACTGTCAATTCGATTAACTAATCGTCACAATCATGAATACGAAGCAAAAATATTTATTACCAGTAAAGAATAGATTAAATTGATTGGAAGGATGACTTATTAAATAACAATCCTAAAAAAATGTCTGTTTTTCTTCTTGAATATTTAGGACTGGTATAATACTTGATAACGTCCTAATACATATACAAACAAACATACGAAAGAACAAAACAAATACAAACTTAAACGTTGTGCACACAATATCAACTGTTTATCTTAAGTTTATACCTAAGCCTTAGCATCACATTTAAAATATGTCAATTTGGGTGTTCTAACGAATAGAAGACTTCAGATTTATTTGAAGGTCTAATAAGCGTCAATTATTAGTGAACAACTGTTTTCACTTCTATGTTAAAGCACTTCCTATGTAAAATCCTAAGATGTGGTAAGAAGACAACTTTTTCCTAGACGTTGATGACGTGGATGTAAGCAACTATAAGTAACTATTCGACATTCGTTAATGCGCAAACCAGAACAGTATAGTAAACTATGAAATGTTCCACCATGAAAACAATTCAAACAAAAATACCGGTCTGATTTGTGTAAAGAAACGAGAACCAAAATTCAATATACTTGTATAATGGCCAATAAGTACCACGTAATGATAGGTCCAGATATCTATAAGGACAAAGAAGTGCAAAACATGTAAACATATTTGTAACTGCTCAACTCTCCTTTAACCAGAGAAATTGTGTACGACACATCATAAGAACAGGCTGTGAAAAAAACTGAAAAGAGCTTGAATGACCAGGTCGGCATAAAACTCACCTTAAACAACTAGCAAAAAGACTGAATAAAGACAACAGAGGTATACCGATGTTCAATAGTCATAAATCGAATAAGCAAAAATAAATCGAAGTCACAAGGGTAATAGAAAAAAGAAATATATCAAACATGACGAACTCCAAGGATAATTCAAATAGGAATGTCCCCTTTCAAATGGCAAAATCAAAAGCTCAAAAACATCAAACGAATGTAAACAACTGTCATATATTGATTGACTACCTTTTGAAAAAAGTTTTAAATGATCGAGAAAAGTTTACAAAGATGTAATCAAAATGTACATGATATATAAAACAAAACATTACTGTAAAATATTAGGATTTACTTTCTCACTTGAAATAAGATTTTTACAGGTACCGCCCAACTTCGAACCAATATATTTGTATCTTTGAAATAATTAAGTAAAGGTTTAAATTCAAGTTATCAACAATATCCTTGTCTTAGTATTTTACAAATTAATATGATAAACGAAATGCGTCACTACAAATAAAGGCTCAGTGAACATATAATGATATATATAAATCTCGTAAGATGTAACAAAAGGAACATACCCGTCAAATAAAAGGATATCTATAAAAAAGAAGATGTGGTATGATTGCCAATGAGACAACTCTCCACAAGAGACCAAAATGACACAGAAATTAACAACTATAGGTCACCGTACGGCCTTCAACAATGAGCAAAGCCCATACCGCATAGTCAGCTATAAAAGGCCTCAAAATGACAATGTAAAACTAGTCTTTTTTGGCACCAATTCAGACATTCACATGTAAAACTTACATATAGTAATATAAGGGATGATAGGTATTCCTGTTCATATTACATTTATTAGAAATAAGTTTCCTTTGGTAAATATCGGCAGTATACAATGTATTAGAGTTCTAGATTTTTCAACGCTATACTATCATTCAGGTAAATTAAGTTTTTTTTAACAGATCAATTAAAAAGAATGAAGACGGTTACTTCTTGATTTAAGTCGTAAACTATGATTCATAAAAATACACAAGTCTACTTTTGATGCTGCCTAATTAAGAAACATAGGAATAAAAACATGAAGCCGATACATGCATAGATTTTGTAATTAGAATCGTTTCTGATTATCATATCTTATTAAACGTCTAGTAAAAATTCAACCGATTGAATAGAAAACAACTGTAATATATATACTATGTATGGGCATTTTCTAAAGAAAATGATGGGTTAAACCTGGTTGAATAACTAGTTAAATTTCCCACTTGTATAACTGTCGTTTATAGTTCCTAGTTTTGTACCAGTAGAATGTTTTACATGCGTTTCGTCATTTTAATGTTAAATATAACATTGCTATAAAAGCGGGAGGTTTGGCTAGCCACAAAACCAGGTTCAACCCACCATTTTTTTTTCTTAAAATGTCCTGTACTAAGTCAGGAAAATGGCCAATGTTATATTATAGTTGTTTCTATGTGTGTTTTATTTTAGTGTTGTGTTTCTGTTGTGTCGTATTTCTCCTCTTAAATTTGATGTATTTCCCTCAGTTTTAGTTTGTAACCCGGATTTGGGTTTTTTTCTCAATCGATTTATGAATTTCGAACAGCGGTATATTACTGTTACCCTTATTCAAAAAGATTTTTTCAAGAGTTGTAATTACACATGAAAAGTTATGTTTGATTGAATAATTATATCTAGGTTAAGACGCAACAATTTTCGATACTTTTATGTAAATTACTTGCTCTTCAGTATGTATATCCAATACTTTCAGATTGCCAATAATGATGAAATATACCAATGGAAAATGATAAAACTACTTGAATTTTCTATTTCAGTATACATTATTGAAAAAATTCTTTCGGTTGTCAGCTCAATATTTCTTATGATATTTAAATGTTCTATTTTCATTGATAACACTTCTTTTGGTTTCAGTAGATTAATATAAGCTACCCATTTTGGTCTTGCATCTTGTCTAAATTTAAATTTTGGTATTGCCCAAGATCATGTATTTCTCTAACTCTATAAACGAATCGTTTTTGAAGTGTACCCACAAACACGTCTTTCCCCGCAACATAATTAATGTTCTTATATGTAGTCAAACAAATGAATCGCGTAGCTGTCCTTAATAACCGTCTGTCACAAATGCTTTGCGTTCAATGCAATATACTAAATCATGTTAGTCTGTCACATGAATTAATACTATTGTTCTATCTCTAGATATTGTATTACTTTACAAAACTGTACAGAGGTGTTGTTCATTCTTGAAGGTTTTGTGGTGAACATCTGTCTTTAATCTCCTTGCCCTTATCTTAATCTTTCGTGCATCGTTTTCTTCTTTGCTTATTAGGTTAATAATGACAGAACAATATACCTCTTGTACATGTTGGTAGAAATTGAAATCAGAGAATAATTCTTCGGAATGGAAATTTATGTATTCATATCCCTGTAGCTATATCATTCCAGAAATCCCCCAGAGTAAACATCCAACGTCCAACTCTTTGTTACTCTGCTATGACGGCAAGCTTTACGGTCTGTAGATATTTTTTCGTAATGTTCGTAATGATTCTACGAAGCAATATGTTTAAATAAAAACTTATAAATCTGTAAACTTGTAAATTTGTAATATTTTCGTACACCTTAATGATTTGGTTGTCCTAACGAAAATATATGTGTCGCGTTTGACAACGGTCATTTGTCTTTTGTTTACTCAAAACAAAGTGCTACTTCACTCGCTGATGAATTGCTTTTAATAGCGATGCGACTTTTTTTTATCACATTTATACTTCATCATAAGCACAACACTCGGTTGTGTAGGCGTTATTAATGCACAAATCTTACTTGTTTGTTCTTTCTTACCTACCTGTTTTGCTACAAACTTTTTGTTTTGGTTTATACGATTTCTTTTCCACAACTGTTTGTTCATTTAAATCTTCATATTTATTGCTTCATAACATACTATCAAAAGTTTGTTAACGTCTCTTATCTTTGTTACAAGAATGATAGAGTTCGGTAGGCGTTATTGAATATCTGTTTCATAGATGACGATGAATATGTTCCAATTGTAATAACTAAAATCCAGTTCCTTTTTCCCTGAATGTTACCTAAACAATCAGACTTATCACCGGGTTTGTACTAACATGAGCAAACGACGGATGTGGAGAAGAATCTGTTTACCAATCCGGGGCACCTGCGATCACTCCCAGTTTTTGGTTTGGTTCGTGTTGCACAGTATTGTTTGTATTTTGTTTGCCATGGTGTTGTCAGTTCATTTTCGACTTTGATTTTGACCCCTTTGGTCATACTGGTATCTTTTGTCTCTATTATAATGCATTAATAAAGTGAATAATATATAACATTGTCTGAAGGAAAATGTTTGGTTTTAAATGCTAGTTATAATTCATATATCTGCCATGGCGGTCGAGTATAGTAAAACCTTCAGGTGAGGCCGGGTACATTGAAATAATGGACAATTAACGACAAATAATCCAATGCTGTACTCATGTTGTTAAAGAAAATATCCAAGTAAATTGACTAATCTATGATTTATTGAAACTCCATTTCAGGAATATTTGAATAATAATTAATATACAGTTTACAAAATGTAGATTCAAAGATTCATCGGTACATCACTTTCACACACATGACACATCACAAATGGATTTCATTACATTCCGCATCAAAATAAGCAACAGTGTCCAATACTGTGCACACAAAAAAACCAATACTATGCGGACAAAACCATGCAACAGTCTGAACAGACAAAAATATCAAAAATACATACAGTTGAATAGTAATGTAACACAACTTTCTATGAATCTATAAGTCCTCCCAAAATCTGCTAGAATCTGCCCAGAATAACAGAATCCTTTTTAACGTTTCATATTGTATGGGTCTTTTGTCGCCTTCAATTCTTTTAAACACTAAAACAGAGGGCTCTTAAATACCAATGATCTCCAAATATTCTCCAACTGACCTAAATAATCTCCATATATTCTCCAACTGACCTAAATAATCTCCAAGTATTCTCCAACTCTTTGTTTACAAAAATAAAACATATAAATCATATAAATGTATTTACTGTGTGACCTATAGAACATGCTATGTTAATCTTATAGCAGGATAGCCCTTTGACATAAGGATGTTCGCTACTCTGTTTCAAAATAACAAACTTTTAAAAAGACTGTTATAAATTGATAGTATATAAACAAAGGAACTAAAAAAGCAGAAAAAAATTAAGGGTCCGTGAGCTTGCTTTCGAGATATAAGCCATTGAAAATTTGGCGGGAAATGATTCTCTCTAGATTTTTCATACATTTAACATTGGCACCTTTTTTCCGTCAAAAAATATGAAAAAATAACAAGGATTTGATAAGATTTTCAAAGATGGCATTTTAAACTATATTTAATCAAATTATGAAAAGAAAAGACGGGGTTAGTGGGCAAACATTTTTAATGGCACTACATGGATAAAACCAGAGGATTCCGAATATCTGGCAAAAAATCAAAAACAAGAGGAGCGAACATCCTTAATGACTTTAACAGACGATAACCAAAACGTTAATATGACAAAATTAATTACAGTGGACGTTAAAATTACACTTGTACATATCTTTGATGAGTTAATAATTGTTAAATTTATAGTTTCTGCAGGATTGCAGTATAGCTTTAACATTATAATTTATATAAAATAATTTTTATCTGAATACTGATCAATGAACGTATGTTGGTACTACTCTTTCAATATACTACATTTTTTTTTTCTTTCCAGGAAACTTTAAAACAAAGGTAATCTTGTTATCTACACTGATTCCACTAGCGATATTGGTTTTGGTAGCAGTTATATTTATTGTGAAACGAAAACACGCACGAACAGGTAGATAAAAAAAAGCCCGAATAAAATAGGTTTTCTTTAAGCAAATACAGTCATACGCCGTGTCAATATTCGATATTGGAACAAATATGTCGACAAATCACTACAGTTGTATTTAAAAATGTTCTTATCTCTTTTATACAGATTTGTTATTAAGTTGGTTTTTTTTCTTTAAAACATATAGAAAATACTGAAAGGCATTTCACGAAATATTATTTAAGAAGGATAACATTCTATGTACAAAATGTAAAAGATCAAAATTAGCATTTGACAAACATTCTGAATATTTCCAGTATGTAACATGAATTATTTTTTTACTTCGAGCTCAGATCCAGAAATTTAGCAATGGGGTATCCATCTACAAAAAGGGTTTCAGTCTAATTTTGGACGATTTTCTTTTTAACCTTACCTAAATCACATAAGAGATACGAATGGATCCACATCACTAAAATTCCTCTGGAGCCTCTAATTATCTTTATATAGAGTGATTTCTATTTCAGAAACAAAGGACAAGAACCACATAAATAACATAATGGAACGTGAAAACCTTTGTACATCGTCTGAAGGTACGTCATATAATACAAATAATGTAAATAAAATGGCTCCTTGCTCTACTTATTACATTTTTACACATACTTCATGGCTCTGACATTGTGCATCTTGTTGGTACAATATATGTTATGCTAGAGACGAGAGTATTGACGAACACAACAATAAGTTCCATACAAATATGGTCATTCTAGTTTGAAAAGATTATAATAGCAAATCAAATGGTCTTTCTCTTCTAAATAGGTAAGTATAATATCGATTTCTAAAATTCAATGAGTCCGAAATGATACCGGTGACTTTTTATAATGCTTTGTATAAATATTCAAAACTATATATCTCAAACAAATTACGGCTGGAATATTATTTATAGCTTTTCTTTTCAAGAATTCCAGAACTTTACGTGTACGTGTTATAAATAATCAGTAGATTATACAGTACAAATTTTGGCACCAATTTTGCAACACCAGAAACCAACTTGTACAATTAAAGTCTCTTCAGTGATGCTCGAGGCCAAATTGTACAATTAAAGTCTCTTCGGTGATGATCGAGGCATAAATGTTTGTAAGCTTATTTAAACGTCGAAGAGCTGGTTAAACATGATCGGATTGAAGATAAATCGAATGAATCATAGCAATGGCTAAGGGATATACTTTGCTCAATTAAAAATTATTGCAAAATTTTATAACAGCAAACTTAAATAAAACAATATCCATTTGAAACTTTGCATTTGTTTCTTTGCAGGAGAATGCATTTCAAAGAAAGAAAATTCTCAAACTGAGGCTAAAGTCTAGTCTAGACTCCTGACTTTAAACAGGCACATGCAGAATGTGGCGGAGTTAAACATGTTAAAGAGAGGGGCAGAAGATACCAGAGGGACAGTCAAACATCGAAAATAAACTGACAACACTATGACTAAAAAAGAAAAAGACAATAACAAATATACACAGCTGGCTTTTTTCTCTCGAATTGCTCACAACTGAATTGTTACAATTAAATTTGGGCACACATTTAAAGAATTACTTCCGACTATGGTTGGAGCACTGGTTTCAGTTTATTGGAATAAGAACTCTCTCTCGATATAGAGACGTTGCAGGAGATATTTATTACAATGTGTGTAAAAGTTGTCTATTATCCAATTATAGCGTTTCTTCACCCTCCTTGTTTGCTTGTGCTCATTTTTGTTTTAATGCTCTCGCAACTGAAAGTTGAGTCCGTTCTTCCGTCCGTCTTTCCGTTCATTCTGTCGTCCCATTATGTGTATAGAATTGTTTCAGATACCTTCTCCTACAGTTTGAATGCTATGAAGTTTTCAATTTGCTGGCTGTTTGCACATATATTGAAGGTATGCATGTGGTCAGTGTTTAGATTTTATCAGTATTTGCTCTAATACGAGGTAACTGAACTTTGTCATTTTTGGTGTATATACTTGCATAAGAAGTGAAAAGCGTTTCTGGATATCTCCTCCTACAGTGAACCATAGACCTATATGCCCCCATGCTCAATTTTTTTTTTTATTTTCAAAAAAAAATTTACATCTGTTAGGGAACATTTGTGTCTCCCCGACACAATAATATCTCAAAGAAAGTCCTTATTGACTATAATAGTACTATTTCTTCAGAGTGGAATAAAGGGGCATCATTTTGTCTAGGTTTTAATTTGTTTCCATCTGCTCTTGCAGTTTTATATTTATGATTAATATTGACAGAAGAATTGAAAACATATATATATTCATTGTGAGCTGATAAATTGTAATACTTTATGTATTTTCAAGCACTCTAATGCGCATAATTATTGCCATATTTTTAAAATGATATTAAGATTTCTGACCTCCTTCGTTCCTTTCTTATATTTCTATCGAATACATCCGCATGATTTTCTCATACTATACTTTACGTTAGTGTTTAACTTGCCGCAACTAAGCATTTTTATTGACTATGCTGAGCTCATCTTTTCTATTAAACACCAGATAGGGGATACCAGAAATTCATATCTTAACTTTCATTTTTAAATGAGAAAACTTTCCTATTTTCATATACAAGCTCTGCAGAACTATTAGGAATGCTAAAAGGAGGTAATGAAAGTTGTAGCTTAACCGAAAGGTGCGCTCAATCTATTAAACTGAAACAAACATTCATACTTCAGATATTGGTAGTGTAAGTCTACTTATTTATATACCAAAAAGACTGACAAGATATTAAAAGTTAGCTGATACATGCCTTTTTTTATCATATCTGCCATTTTATCATCTCAATATCTTGATAACTGGAAGAGTATTTGGACACAAAGAACAAAAAAGACAAAAGCCACATAAAGGTCAACATATAATCTTCAACAAAAGACAAGTGTTTGTAGCATATCTCAAACTTTTAGTTGAGTTGAAAAAAAAATGTTCATGACTAGTTGATTGATTGATATATTGTAAGCCTCATCGTCATATAATATCTCTATCCATGGTAAAAAGGATGGTTATGGATGGCTATTTTACATCAACGAGCAAATAAAATGCTAATTCAGTGCACGCACATGAACATGATATGTGGCAGTTGTCGCTATATTATTTTATGTAATAAAAAAAAATGGATCTACCATTTTGCGTTCAGAATCAAAAATATTTGAGGTCATATGTTTTTTGTAAAATTTTGCAATAAACTTAGACACATTGAATTGAAACGTTAAAGACTTTAAAATACAACGGTCTTGTGGGTCCTTTACTTATGCTTATATAATTTAAACATTGTGACATTGTGTTGATTAATATCGAGGACTGAATGTTGCCCTTCAAATGTCTTGCGGTTATTATTGTCCTTTATAAATGTGTCATTGCCATAAAAATCGTATCTTTTCTTTTTTTTATTAATCTTCAACCTTCATGCATTATGTGGAATTAGAGGAAAATGTAAATTAAACTATTTTGCGTATTATTCATTTGATTTAAACCGGTTTATATTCATCTATTAAATTATGTTACCAGATAAAGTTTTATTAAATTAGTTAATAGATAAAAGCGACATCGAAATCTGGTTTAATCTGTTTAAAGAGTCCGTAACGGTACCAATTTATCTGCACCAGATGTGCATTTCGACATCAAATGTCTCCTTAGCAATGCCCAAGACCAAAATTTAAAGAAAAATATTTCTAAAAGAAATAGGATCTTGTAAACTACAAGGGACAAAAAGCATAGTTTTGAATAATTTGCATATACATGAATGGGTTATCTAACATGAAATTTAGTTTAGAATTTAAGTGTGCATTTATTGTTTTTAATCATATTTTTTTTGGTCATAAAATACACTTTTTGATGAATGATTATTATGCGCATGTAAATGTTTCATATATATACTATGTATAAATTGGGGAAATGATAAGTGGGATATTTCATGTTTTTTTTGTGAAAGATTTTCATATGTTTTTAAAAGATGTGTTATTCCTAAATTATTTCGATGATGTAATTAATTGTACAGTGATATATGATGAGAATTTATTATCATGATCATGTCAATGATTTGATTTTTTAATTTTGGTATTTTAACGCCACTTTTAAGCACCGCATTTTGGCAATTTCGTGGCGGCTAGTTTTTATTGGTGGAGGAAGCCGGAGTGCCCGGAGAAAACCATCGACCTTCGATAGGAAAACTGACAATCCTGGTCAATTAAGATTGGAGTCGAGTGCACCTGCACGAGCGGGGTTCGAACTCACAACCGCAGTGTTGACTGGCTAGTAATTACAGTAGTAAGTACTTAGACCACTCGGCCATCGAGGCCCCTCATGTCAATGAGTCTCATTACAAACTTTTGATCGCATGTATAGGGGAGTTGACAAAATACGTCCATAAGGTTTTCACTGATATTGTGGAATCATTTAATCTCGTTGATACCAATTTGATTTCGTGGTTTTCCTTAAGTCTATAGAAAATTTGTATTTCAATAAACATTTCAATTCGTGTTTTACCTTCACCCACATAATCCACACAAAATTAATATCAATGAATCCATAAAATGTTAAGGTGATTGTTGAAAATTGATGATTTAGGATAATCATATGCATAATCAGTAATAATACCAGGTGCTTATTAAGAATGTCAACTATGTGTATACACTGATACTACTGATACTACACACTGATACTGTTGTAGTAAACAAGTTAAAATCATGACTCACCATCAGAAAGTCTGGATATACTAATAGTCAAAACAGTAGTTCCTGATGAAGGTAAATATAGAAAAGCGATACAGATGCATGGAATTTATAAACGTGTTGTTTTCTTTTTTTACCAGTAGTAGTTCGTGTTGTTTATTCTTTAGTTTTTATTTTGTTTTGGTTTTTTTTATCCTACATCGGTCATTATACATATTGTTAGCTCTAAAATACACCACACTGATTCAAACAAAAAATTCTCTGAAACTGACATTATCAAGATGCTTGATTTCTTGATTGACAACATATTTGTTACGTTCGGAGGACGTGTTTTTCAACAGACTGTCGGCATTCCAATGGGAACCAATTGTACCCCTCTTCTTGCCGACTTGTTTCTTTATTATTATGAGACTGACTTCATACAGGAACTTCTTGGGAAGAAAGATTAGAAGTTAGCAATATTCTTTAACTTTACTTTCCGCTATATAGATGATGTTCTCTCACTAAATAATTCAAAATTTGGTGACTATGTTGAACGCATCAATCCCATCGAACTAGAGATAAAGGATACAACAGATACAGTTAAGTCGGCCACATCTTTACTTGCATCTAGAAATTGACAATGAGGGTCGGTTAAAAACAAAACTTTACGACAAAAGAGATGATATCAGCTTTCCAGTTGTGAACTTTTCATTTCTAAGTAGCAACATTCCAGCAGCACCTGCATACGGGGTATATATCTCCCAATTGATACGATATTCCCGTGTTTGTATTTTCTATCATGATTTTCTTGTAAGAGGGTTGCTCCTTACAAGGAAGCAATTAAACCCAGAGTTCCAAATGGTGAAGTTGAAATCATCCCTTCGTAAATTTTACGGACGCCATCACGAGTTGGTTGACCGTTATGGAATAACCGTTTCACAGATGATATCAGATATGTTCCTTGCTACGTAACTACAATCACCTTCCCTTTCATGAATGTGACCTACCGAATTAGACTCTTTACCAGATTTGTTATAACATGAGCAACACGACGGGTGCCACATGTGGTGCAGGATCTGCTTACCCTTCCGGAGCAACTTATATCACCCCTAGTTTTTGGTGGGGTACGTGTTGCTTATTCTTTAGTTTTCTATGTTCATTGGAGTAAATGTGATCTCCGTAACTGCAGTTACGTATATCCAAAGATGGCGGACGATGTTTCTGGTCAATATTTCTTTTGTCTATTCTGTAATAATTTTGTATTATTCTTCGGTATTTCGTGTCTTATTAAAAGTATTACTAAATTTGAAACTGAAATACAAAGCTTCTTTTCAAAGTTCAACCGCTAAATGGAGAAATTATCAATTAAAAAAATCGCGAGGATATTGGTAATTGTATAGACTGATATCCGTAACTGTAATAAACGTTTAGAGAAGGATATCCGTAACTGTTGAGTTGCGTTGTTTCTGCTTCACTCATTATCTTCGATTTAATAGTTCGGACCTTCATTTTTTTTCGGAAATAAAACTGTCATAAATTCGTCAAAATAAATGAAATCATCGGGATAAAACAAATATGCCCACAATGTTATCTAACAACATTAAAAAAATACCACTGTTTATGACGTCTTCGCCCTAAATCCTTTGGATGTTGGATGTGTAATAACTGATAACTTAGTCTTAGTTGCATGATGTTTTTATTAGTCTTTATTGGCTTGGAACTATCTTTCAGTACTTGCGATTACTCTCAGATCTGTATTTAGTGTCTGTTTGTTTTTGGGATGTACTAGTACCCTCCCACGTTCACTTTGTTTGAGTAAAATTTATTTTTATTTGTATCTCCCTCATGAGTTTAGCCTTTTCCACTGATTTTTTAGTCTGCCCTTATGATGTACTGTTACACCATTGTCCCAGGTTAGGGGAAGGTTGGACGCCAGCTTACATGTTTAACATCGCCACATTCTGTATTTGCCTAGGCCTGACCCAAGTCAGGAGCCTGCAATTCAGTGGTTGTCGTTTGTTGCTGTGTTACTTATTTGTTT